ACACCGCATCTGTTGTCTCGGCAAGTGCAATCAGCGTTACCCTCAAAGAAATGACAAAGCTCAAAGGCATTCTTGATTGGGGCTGTAATCCTCCAAACTTGAACATCGTCAAAAATTGGAGGACTACAGTCAGGTCCAGCTCCCTTTCACTGCCCTAAGTGAAGCTTCACTTCAAGTCACCATTTCCCTAATATGTTCTTCCCTTTTCTAACCACAGCGACACCACTGGAACAGCATCTCCTCTACCGATGATCTTGCCAAACCCTACCCATTCTTTGCAGCTCAGGTGAAGGTACAGCCCCTTCTCCCAGAGGCAGTTTGTGATTGTTTTGTGCCCAGAGTGGTCTTTCCCTCCTCTGACTCTACACACCGTCCCACTTCGCCCGCTTACCTACAGGGCTATCTAGAGGCACGGAGGATGATGTATTTCATCTCCATGCTGCAACCTGGCACTTCACTCTTTCCTGCAGTTAAATTCAATAAAATACTCATTGACTCTGCTGCAGGCATTGAAGATACAGAAATGATTAAATCCCAGCCCTGCTTTTGTGGGACCCACAATCTATGTGAGAAAGGATAACACCAAATAAAATTCTACAAATCAATTTTTCATAATAGGGTACACAATTTGATCCAAAACAGAGCTATCCTATCACCCTGTTTACTGCCTTCATGTCATTTAGCTCAGTCTGTGGCCATTGTTTGTTCATTTATTTGTGGTCAGCCTGTCCCTAGTAGGAGACACTAGCATAGGAACATTGTCTGTCTGGTTCGCCACTGTCCCCAGCACTCCATATGGACTTGAGCACAGAGACACTCTCGTTGAAAGCTGTATTTGTGGAAGGAAGTAAAGAGAGAGGCAGGGAAGTGTCAGGAACTATGAGTACCAAGGCCGGCTTGAGGTTCAGGCAATGCTTCCATGACAGGGAGCCAGCTATGATCTGGAGTGTGAGTGACAGCCAGACAGGGAAGGCGTGAGCCCCAATCCAGAAGAGGAACAGGATGAGCAAAGGTAAGAATGGCAAATTGGCATGACTAAGACAGTGGTCATTTAAGAGCACTTAAATATTGCTATAGAGCAGCTGCTTTTAAAAGGGGATGATTTTGCCTCCCGGGGGCATTTAACAATGCATGGAGACTTTTAAAATTGTTTTTTGTTTTTGTTATTTTTAGAGACAGGGTCTCACTCTGATGCCCAGGCTGGAGTGCAGAGTGCAGTGGCACCATCTCAGCTCACTGCAACCTCTACCTCCTGGATTCAAGCCATTCTCGTGCCTCAGCCCCTGGAGTAGCTGGGATTACAGGCACACGCCACCATGCCTGGCTAATTTTTGTAGTTTTAGTAGACATGGGGTTTCATCATGTTGGCCAGGCTAATCTCAAACTCCTGACCTCAAGTGATCTGCTGGCCTTAGCCTTCCAAAGTGCTGGGATTACAGGAGTGAGCCACCATACCCAGCTCACTTTTTTAAATTGTTAAGGCTTAGGGCACTTTTTTAAATTGTTGCTGCTAGCATCTACTAGGTAGAGTCCAGGGATTCTGCTAAGCATTGTACAATGTCCAGAGCAGCTCTCCACAACAGCCATCTGATCTAAAATGTCAGTAGTGGCCAGGCAGTGTGGCTCACACCTGTAACCCCAGTGCTTTGGGAGGCTGAGGCTAGGAGTTCAAGACCAGTCTGGGTAATATAGTGAGACCCCCATCTCTACAAAAAATTAAAAATTAGCCAGGTATGGTGGTGCATGTCTGTAGTCCCAGCTACTCAAGAGGCTGAGGCAGGAGGATCGTTTGAGCCCAGGAGTTCAAGGCTCCAGTGAGCTGTGATTACACCACTGTACTCCAGCCTGGGTGACAGAGCAGGATCCCATCTCTAAAAAAAATAATAATATTTTAAAAAATAAAATGTGGCCAGTCATGGTGGCTCACACTTGTAATGCCAGCACTTTGAGAGGCCAAGGCAGGTGGATCACTTGAGGCCAGGAGTTTGAACCAGCCTAGTGAACATGGCGAAACCCCATCTCTATTAAAAATACAAAAATTGGCCAGGCGTGGTGGTGTGTGCCTGTAATCTCAGCTACCTGGGAGGCTGAGACAAGAGAAGTGTTTGAACCCAAGAGATGGAGGTTGCAGTGAGCTGAGATTGTGCCACTGCACTCCAGTCTGGGTTACAGAGCGAGACCCTGTTTCAACAAAATAAAATAAAATGTCGGCCAGGCATGGTGGCTCATGCCTGTAATCCCAGTATTTTGGGAGGCCAAGGCAGGTGGATCACCTGAGGTCAGGAGTTCGAAACCAGCCTAAGATAATGAAACCCCATCTCTACTAAAAAAATAATAATAATAATAAAATAAATTAGCTGGGCTTGGTGGCAGGCACCTGTAACCCCAGCTACTCAGGAAGCTGAGGCGGGAGAATCACTAGAACCTAGGAGGCAGAGCTTGCAGTGAGCCAAGATCACGCCACTGCACTCTAGCCTGGGCAACAGAGGGAGACTCTGTCTCAAAATAATAATAATAATAATAATAATAATAACAATAATGTCGGCAGTACTGAGGTTTACCAATCCAGCTGCAGACTAACATTCAAGGGATGGGCTGGTCAGAAAACAAACTTTCTTCTAAAGGTCATGATTTCTAGTCACACCTAATATCTTCTTTTGATTAGAATTTGGACCAAAATAGCATGTGCTTGCCACCTCCTACAGCCTCTGAGAAAAGAAATATTCAGCAAAGACTGTTTTGATCCTAAGGACCTATATCAATGTCCTTCATCTGCTGGATATCCAGGAGGACTCATCACTTCCTCCATAAATTCTAGGGCTCCAAACCACCCACCTCACATGCAAGGTGATGAGAAGCAGAAAGATGAGAAGGTGAGAGGTGCTCACAGCACTGTCGATGAATGATAGACAGAGGGATGGACAGACAGATTTGTCGGGATGGCAAAAGACTGAATCCTTGGAGCTCCCAGAGTACGTGCCTGTGCCACGTGGACTTTTCTGTGAAGGCAGAATTGGCCTGAGCAACAACACTCCCACCCCCAGCCCTGTTATGAGAGCTGCTGTGGAGAGTGGAGAGCACGGAGAAGTGGTCATCTCTGCAGGGCTCTGGAGCCTCTGCAGGGAGTCAGTCAAGCAGCTGGGCTTGACCCAATGAAGTGACAGGAGCCGGGAAGTCAGTGAAGACAAAGCCCCTTTGTCTAGAAGTAGCAACACACGACTGGGCTGAGCCTGCCCTTGATAATGAAATGTGTGGCAGCTCCAAACCTCGTTGGGGCCTCACCCTGTGTTTCCTTTCTCGTGCCGCCTCACCACTGCTCCTCGGCAGCTCAAAGTCTCTCCAATGTGTCTGCTTATTTGTGTCCCTGGCACATAATTCTATATTTCAATATTATCTGAAATATTATCTATAATTCTATATTTGAATATTATCTAAATATTATCTAAAAATTTGAATTTTAATTCTAAAAGGAAAAAAATCACCTTTTTTTCTGCTGTAAGACATCCGCTAATGTTATAGTCGTAAAGAGTAGATCTGAGACACACAAAGGCTACCTCCTATTACATCTCAAATTCCACTTTGTGACAAAGCTTCCTAAATGTCCTCATCTCTGAGGTGGGTATAACACTACCCACATTACATTCTCACTGACGATCCTAAAAAGAGCTTATTTAAAGAAGAGCTATCTAGAAATGGATGCCACGGATGAAAATTCAATTTACATCTAAGTTTTCATGGAAGTATCTGGTGGGTAGAGCAAGGAAAGCCAAGAATGGCACCCCATGCAGGGCAGGATACTCTTCCTAGTGCCAGACAAACACGGGCCTTGGATCTTATGCATGGCTCCGTACAGCGCTGGGAGAAAGGAACGGCTTACCCTAGCAAATCAAAATGGAAATTGAGCTATATTTGTTACAATTCGAGTAAGATCTGCAACTTACAACAGAAGAAAAATATTAGTACAGGCAGTACCCAACTTGGACATGAACTGTCTTGCAAAAGTTCATTCATAAGCAGAATGTTCAGAACCTGGAATGCAAGGTGTCTTTTATGTCCCAAGCCAGCCCACAAAAGGCTGATTGAATTTATGATTTATTTGGTATATTACATACTTAAAGCAAAAATAGAAAACACACACACACAAAAACAATGCTCTGATAACATTTTAAAAACATATAAAAATACTTAGAAAAATAAATATGCAGCCCATAATTAGCCTTGACCCAAAGCCTACACCATGAGCTGGGCCCTGGACCCTCCACAGTCCAAGTCATAACTGACATGGGGCCCTAAGAAATTGAATGGAGAAGAATGAGAAGAACTCCAGCCTCAAAGGGACAGGGGTTCTGGTGGGAGAAAAAAAGTAGTCAGGCATCTCTCAACTGGAAGAGAAGGGTGTGGTACCCTACCCAGAATATATACTCTAGCACAGACGTGCTACTGGTCACATCTAGAAAGACACGTGTATGTGGAAGAACAGTAGCCACTCTGCCTGCTACCAAAGTAGACAAAATACAAAATAAGCTGCTGCGAAGACAAGCGAGCCAGCAACCTGGCACCGCCCCACCAGAGGGAGGAGGAATGTGAATTCCCAGCACGCTGTGCAGCAGCGTGAACAGCCAGGGACACTCAGAGGCCGGAAGGAAGATGTTTCTGCAGCTGCCAACAGTCGGTGTAGGAGTGTCCAGGGGCCACATGTGATTCTGATGGATCTGGCTAGGTCAAGAAGGAAGTTTCTGAGCTTTCCAAAAGTGAAAACTATCCTAACTGATAAGGTTAATCACATTTCTGGTATCTTCAGAAGAGAACAGGGGACAAGAAGATACAGACCCTGGGAATGCCTTCCCCAACACAGCACACTCACACCATTACAGCAGAAAGGACGCTTCATTCCAGATTGTTGCTGAATACGATACCTGGATCGACTCCAAATACAAACGTGATGTGAAATATTGAAATCAGGTTTGAAAACTGAGATTTTTTATTCATCCACTTTGTACCTTCTTTAATTCTCCAAATAAAGTGTCAGTCTCCAGCTCAAATTCCTGGTCCAGCTCCTCTTCACGTTCTGACCAAAACAAACCAACAAAAAAAAAAGTCTTCGTTAGTCACAAATCTAAACAAAATTGGGTTGGCTGAAGAGCTGAAGCACTAAAGGAATTGGACTATGTCCTGGAAAAGCAGGCGGTGGACTAAGCTGCAGGCACGGAAACATGCCACACTCCTTGACCCTGCTTTCCAGTGTTCTGTGACCTAAGTTCCTGGAAATACGTAGAGCCACTGATGGAAATTTGGCTTGTAATAAGGGTCACAAAAGGAGAGAGCAAGGGAGAAGAGTTTCCAACACAGGAAAACATGGGAAGGGTTACTGCAAATGGCCCACGTGCACATGCTGTTAGAAATTTTGGGCCAGGCATGGTGGCTCACGCCTGTAATCCCAGCACTTTGGGAGAACGAGGAGGGCGGATCACGAGTTCAGGAGTTCGAGACCAGCCTGACCAACATGGTGAAACCCCCCTCTATTAAAAATACAAAAATTAGCCAGGTGTGGTGGCAGGCACCTGTAATCCCAGTTACTCAGGAGACTGAGGCAGGAGAATCGCTTGAACCGGGAGGCAGAGGTTACAGTGAGCCAAGATTGCACCATTGTATTCTAGCCTAGGCAACAAGAGCAAGGCTCCATCTCAAAAAAAAAAAAAAAAAAAAAGAAGAAAGAAAGAAAGAAAAAAAAAGAAAGAAATCTTGACACTGACTTGCCACAAAATATGGTGATTGGATCCACTATGATATAATGCTAACAAAATATAATAGTCATATAATGGTAATGAGCATGTATATAAGTAAACAATACAGTTGATTTGAAACAAAAGATGAAATAATATCTGCAAACACTTCTTGAGGATATACAACCACCAGACACAGTACAAGATACTAGGAATGAAATGCAACCAGACTGGTGTGGCTTTTGTCTTCCTGGGGCTTACTGTTGACTGGGGAAGATAGACAAACACAGAATGAGAAACGACGATAGTGCTGATGAGTGAATTGATGCAGGAAGGAATTTTGTGGGGGCTGATGCTGAGGTGCGATGTCCTGTAGGCAGCTGCATGGGTGTGGGGGGAGCTCAAAGGAATGCTCTAAGCTGGAGATAAAGACTTACGAGTTCTCAGTATAAGGGTGGGACAAAGCTACCAGAATGACTGAGATTCCACCCCCCAAAAAGGACAAAGAGTACATAGACAAGAATGGGGAAATATTAATGCTTATCAGATCAACAAAAGTATAAAAACCACAAGAAACCAAAAAGGAGCTACCCAGAAGGAAAGCCAGGAGAGAGTGCTGTCACTAAAATATAATCATGAAATGATGCTGGGTTCAGAGTAGGATCAAGGGGCAGATTCACACACACTAGATGCAAACAGCAAGCCAAGCATCAGACCACAGGCAACATTTAGGAACAATACAAAAGGGAGGGGCTTGCACACCGGCCCAGGGTACACATGGCACACCTCCAGGAGCCCCAGCTACAGTGTACTACAAGTGATCTGGGTGTGCCATGGAGGTGTGTGACTGCAGTAGGGCACTGGTCCTCTCTGTGACAGCTGTATGCAAGACAGCTGTATTGTACATTGTGTATGTGTGTGTGCACGCACCTATTTGCGTGTTTCACTGCACACAGACACACAGACTCAAGTCCAAGGGAACAACTGGCAAACAAATGACAAGTTACTGTGATCCAACAAAGAAGTAACAGAAACCTCTGAATTCATGAGGGCAAAGAGAGTAGAAAAACTTTCTGCCTCGTCCCTCTTCTGCTTTGGCTTCACTTTCACACAAACTGCAACCTTTAGAAACATCAGAGTTACACAGGATTAAAACAAAGCGAAAACTTAAGCTCTTTTTTTGGTGCTTCTTTTTTTAGAGTTCATTCAAAAGCTGTGGCATTTATTTACACACTAGCCTCAGATTTCCTGAGGCTGAAATATATCTCCCTCTAGTGGGAGCAAGGAGTCCTATGCAGACTGGAGAATGATGATGAAATCTTGCCTAGTGCTGCCCAACAGAAATAGAACATGAGCCACACTTAAAATTTTAAAGTTTCTGATAGCCACAAAGTAAAAAAAAAAAAAAAAAAAAGTCAATTTTACTATATTATTTACTCCAATATAAATTGTATTTCAATATGAAATCAATATTAAACAGTGATATGAGTTATTTTATATTCCCTTTTTCTAATTCTTTATAATCCTATTTACATGTCATCTTTATAGTACACCTCAGTTTGACCTGGCCACATTTCAAATGCTCCCTATCCAGATGTGGCCCATGACTACAGTACTGGACAGCATAGCTCTAGACCAAAAATCCATCCTTGACCAGGTGCAGTGGCATAAGCCTGTAATCCCAGTACTTAGGGAGGCCAAGGCAGGCAGATCACCTGAGGTCGGGAGTTCAAGACCAGCCTGGCCAACATGGAGAAACTCCATCTCTACTAAAACACAAAATTAGCTGGGTGCGGTGGTAGGTGCCTGTAATCACAGCTACTAGGGAGGCTGAGGCAGGAGAATCGCTTGAAGCCAGGAGGCAGAGGTTCCAGTGAGCCGAGATCGCACCACTGCACTCCAGCCTGGGCACAAGAGTGAAATTTCATACCCAAAAAAAAAAAAAAAAAATCTTTCCTCATGTTTTGGAGAATTCATATATATCACCTTTGTCTCATTTCTTGACACAAATGCTCCCTGACATAAATTTTAAATTCTAAGTTAAATCCATTCATGACCCATTTTGGAACTCACTGTCTTCACATTGTCTTAAGTTAGCTGAAAACCCCAGCTGCAGAATGTAGTTGATACAGGAGAACCTGAGGCAGGACATCTTTCCACAAGTTGCAGTAACCCTCAGAATTTCTGATTATATCTTCTGGTAACCGCCCTTTGGGTTCATTTGGCCCGCTGCCCAGACACAGCAGATTTATCAAAACAGAGGAATTGTAATAGAGAAATTTAATTCACACAGAGCTGCCTAAATGGCAGATGAGAGTTTTATTATTACTGAAATCAGTCTCCTGAAAATTTCCCCCAGCCCCGCCCCAGAATAAGCCTCGCTCTGTCGCCCAGGTTGGAGTACAGTGCTGCAATCTCGGCTCACTGCAACCTCCGCCTCCTGGGTGCAAGCGATTCTCCTGCCTCAGACTCTCGAGTAGCTGGGATTACAGGTGTGCGCCACTATGCCTGGCTAATTTTTGTATTTTTAGTAGAGATGGGGTTTCACCATGTTGGTCAGGCTGGTCTCGAACTCCTGACCTCGTGAGACTGATTTTTGTTTTTTTTTTAAAGGATAATTTGGCAGGTAGAGGGCCAGGGCTGATTGGTCAGGTGGGAGATGAAATAATAAGGAGTCAAAGCTGTCCTGCTGTGCTAAGTCGATTCCTGAGTGGGAGCCACAAGATCAGATGAGCCAGTTCATCGATCTGGGTGGCACCAGCTGATCCCTCCAGTACAGGGTCTGCAAAATATCTCAAGCACCAATCTTAGGTTTTACAATAGTGATAATTTTACCTAGGAGCAATTGGGATGATTTAGAATCTTTTGGCCTCCAGCTGCATAACTCTAAGCTTCATTTCTAATCCTATGACTAATTTGTTAGTCCTACAAAGGCAGTTACATTTATAATTTTTGCACAGGCAGTTTTATTCTTAGGGAGGGACCTCGGACCTTCATTCTTTGAGCAGAACTGGAGTTTTTATCCTAAGTCAAACACAGTCAAGCAAGAGGCTGCCACAAACAGAAAAGAAGCCTTCTGTGCCTGGGAATTCTCTCCCCATCACACAGGACTGACTGGCAGAACCCGCTCTTTCTTCCAGTGCCCTGCTTCTATTTCCCCAAATTCAGTGCTTCACAAAACTGCCTGAGAGCATAGAAATGAAGCAATTTCTGCTGATGAGTCCTGATTACCACGTCAGCTGTTGATTCTTGCCTTCCACAAAAGGATACATCAAAGCTCCATCCTACCTACTGAGTGAGAGGATTTGCATTTTAATCGCTGTCAATGAGCTGTGGTGGTAAACCATTGACTTAAAACCTCTAACTAACCTACCCCTTTTTCACTCTCAGCATTTTGATGGGAAATTAATTCTGGGGTGGGTGTAGTAAGAGGGCAATAATCAGAAAGAGAAGAAAACACATACACACACACACCCTAGTCTGACACAAGACACAAGCCACTGGGAGCAGCACACCCAGTCGTGGCGCACGTGCCCCGCTGTTTCTACGCATTGGCAAAACTCCAATCAGCTCCTACTGATTATTTCTCCAGGAAGCCACGAGTACAACAGACTGTGGTAGTCACTGAGAATAGGAAGGGCGGCACAGAAAAGATGGGCTTCTGATGACGGGATAATTTAGTGGTAAGCAACTCTCAAATATTCATCTGCAGATTATCCTACAGAAAGGGGGTGGCTTTTCATGACACTCTGGAGGCCTAGGGGCTCCTTCTTTCCTCTTCCAATTTCCACTTGAGGAATAAAAAAGCGATTTAAAAATAACCCAAGGGAAAGCAAATCATATATGCCAATGGATGTAAAAGGAGACACTGCATAAATGTCCTTCAAAACTCCCAAATAGGGCTGCTCATCTGCCACTCACCTGAGAAATTCTGAGTCTGCAGGGGCAGACCACCAGGTGTGTAATTTGCATGGGAAACTTTAGAGCTTCTGGGAGGAGAAGAAGCAGCCTGGACTGAAATGGAAACTCTCAAGCCAAGAGTGAGCCATAAGCTCTATGCATGTTCAGTGTGTGGGGTCTGACATGGAGCACCAGATGGGGAGCAGAAGGAATGAGGAGCTGTGGAGTCTAATACTAGGGCTTGCCCGCAAATGCCCTCCAGTCCAGTCTCTGCCCCATGTCATTGTGGGAGGCTTACTAGAAGTCTTAAGAAAGCAGATTATCTGGAAGCCAACACTCCCTCTATGTGAGGATAAAAAAAATTTTTCCTCTAACTTTCGTAGATTCATGACTGAGGCCCCTGTAACAAAAGGCACATTAACAAGAGAAGAGCATACAAATATAT